CCACATGGAGATGTGTAAATTGACAGAAACAGGGACTTGACAAGCTCAAAAAATTCCAGAGGGAGCAAAGGAAGAGCACCTCCTGGGCACGGATGCTACGTCCCTGTTGGTGAATATTTTTGGGAAATGAAGACTGGAGAGCTAAGGTGATGTTTGTGCTTTACAAGCTCTGAGATAACAAAACAAAAGTTATCCTGTTCTGGTCATTATGGCCTAAAAATACATATATTGTAGTTTCATCTGTTACTAAGTTTTATTTTTCTAAACAGATTGAGTAACTAATCTCCCCTCCCCCCCCCCGCCCATTTCTAATGAGTGAGACTTAATTGTAAACATTCCGAAAAAAGAGGGAGCCCACTTCTGCTGAGTTAGTCTTCATGGCACCTGTAAGACAGTGCAGAGGTCACGGGGTGATGAGCATCCACTGAATAGTAGTGATCATCTTTCATGCTTGGAGGACACCTAAACCTGATTCAATCTCTCGACTTCCCTATTTTCAAATGCAGACCTTACGATGGGGGCAGCTAGCAATTCAGACTAAGGTCCACCTTGAGTCATTGACATTGTTTCTGTAGACAGCTACCTCCACGCAAAGCAGTAAAAACTGGGCTATGAAATGTCCTGTACTGGGACTAATGAGAAAATCATGATTGGCTGAAGACAGAACTTTTTTCTTTGTTAAATAAAAAGATTTTGTTTTCTTTTTTGAGCACTTGCAGGTAAGACAGCGCAATATAACTGGTCCAGCTGAGTGGATGGGCAAGGGAGGACTGGAATACCATATATTCTTAATTCCTCAGATTCCTTAGGGACAAATGGAATACTTCTTCAAGGTATAATGAAAAGATTTCCAGTCCCATTGCCTTCACTTACTAGACATGCGAGGCGAGACAGTTCATGCAATATCTCTAAACATCAGTTTCCTCATATGTAGAAAGGAGAAAATCTCTCCTATTTAGTATAGTTTCTGGTACATACAAAAAGCTCCCAATAAATAGTTCTGATATAAGAGTTTTAATGATATATGTCAAGGCTCATGAATGATACTGGTTGTATATGCAGTAAAATCAACTGATAATTTTATTTAAAAAATATATATATACATACATACGTACTTATATAAACACCTACACATAGGTATATATTCATTGGATCCATTCTAGAATTTCTGAAATGATTGAACTAGGGCCTATCCACAAATACTCTTTTTGAAGTTCTTCAGGAGATTCTTATAAGCAACCAGAATTGAGAACTACTGGACACGGATTCTTAATCCAAGGCTTATAGAACCCTTGATAGAATATAGGAAATTTATGAACTTGAATGGGAAAAAGAATTAGACCTTTATTTTCACTAACTTCCCATTGAAATTTAGCATTTCCTCAACCATAAATGCAATAAACCACAGTAGCTCTGTCAATACCTGTAACTTTGCATCAACAAAAACCAATGGAAAATCATTGTAGAATCACTGCAGACATCTCAAGGTGTCACTTACAGTTGCCATTATGTCAAAATTGCAGTAGTTATTAGATCTGTCACTAGATTGTGTTTTTAGTCCCTTACTAAAGAGTAATATATATTACTATACCACATATTTAAAAAAATATTTTGAGAACTTCAACATCATGAGAACACTCTGTAACCTTATGGATTTTATTTTATGCGTTTAAAAACATTTTTCTGAAAAGAGGCTCTTAGGCTCCACCAGGGCGCCTAAGCCGTCCACAGCGCACACAAGGGTAAAAGCTTTGCGTTTACAGGCTGCAGGTCAGAAATCCTGATGAAGAAGGACTTCTCTGGAGTCATTTTGAACTAAAGGGTGCAACACTCCTCTCTCAGCAATGAAATGAGAAAGCAGATCAGTAGAGGTGAGGTGTATTGTAATAGAAGTCTATTTACATATCAACTGTTCTTCCTTTATCAGTCTCTCTAACAAGGCCGCCAACTCCCTTTTCTATCTTCGCCAGCTGATTCACCGCTGAATCCTCCCTAGCTTTTGCCTAACTCTTAACTTTAGCTGCCACGAATGATAGAAAACATCAGTCTTTGCTTGCTAATTCATCGCATTCAGACAAAATGCAGCATGTATTTTTTAGTAAAAATTTTTCCGAAGCCTAAAGTATATGAGTTCTAAGGCTTCTGCAGTGAGAATAAAGGGATTCACTTAAAATTGATTCCTGTAAGCCCTAATTATACAGTACATTTCATAATAAGCATTGTAAAATCACAGCTTAGGAACAAAAATACTCAGTAATAAATTGTCACTACAATTATCAGTGTGCCAAATTTAATTCACAGATAAATAAAAGGAAATCTTGAAAGCTGAACAGAAGTCTCGTATAAGTGTAGGCTTTGGTACAACTCTGTGATAGTTAAGAAACAACCCCTTGCAATCTATTTCAGAGGGTCCTGATGCCTTTATATTCAAGACGTTCTTACAGCTGTCTCCTCTAGTTCATGGTCACCTGGTGCCTATTCTCTCTAGAAACAGATACTAGCTGCTGATTTTAACAGACCTCGATGCCCCCCAGCACAATTTCTTTTTCAGAAAAGTTAGCCCTTGCTTAGAATTTGCCATAGTGAGTTGAATTATCCAATCCCTGTCATTAAAGGTGGCAGTCGAGCATTCAAAATGATGTGGGAAAACTCCAGTGAGAGTGATAATTAAACTTGAAAAATGAAGGGTCACTGTCTTTCATTCAGCTCATTGGGTTTGGCGTCAGAGTAATTCCAAAACAGTGGGGGAGATTCTGCTCTCAGCATGGCTCTATCTAGGTGCACACATGTTATTTCTGTGGGTTCAAATGGGAATGCCATTTTAATTGTATTTAAAATGTTATCTTAAGGAGTAAAAATGTTAAAGATTAGTTCTAAAAACATAGAAAGCAAACAATGAGCATAATCTAAATAGTGAAAGAATTAGAAACAAGAAAAGCATGCATTGTTTTCTCAGAAGAAAAGCATTATAGGAGAAGAAAATTGTTTCCAGGGAAATTGAAAAGAACATTTAAATGTGTCTCTTCTTTCTACTTGACTGTGGAATCACAAAGCGAGCGCTTCTTCTCAGTTTTCTTGTCTACTTACTGTCATTTCTTGGAGGCCATTATTATAACATCTTACTACTTACTGCCCAAGAGAAGGTAGAAAGTATCAGATGAGCTTAAGACAAGCCACAGGTAAGAGTTATTTTTCAGGAAAAGGGATTTTTCTTTAAAGATACATTGGCTTCTCTAAATACTATTAAAGCAATATTTGGGAAATTATATTTCATATCATTCTTATGTTGCATTAAAAAGTAATACTAAACTTGTAAGGGCATGAAATGATATTGCCATATAGACAGATGCATGAGGGAACACTAGACAGGACAAGATGGGTGCCAAAAGCAAATTTCCAGCTCAAATTCTGGCCTCACCATATAATAGCTACATAATCTTGGACATGTTACTTGACCTCTGTGTGTCTCAGTTTCCTCATCTATGAATTGTGGAAAATAATAGTACCTAGCTTATAAGGATGTTGAAAGATTAAATAATGTTAAAATCCATAATGTATTTATAACCATACCTAGCACAGAGTGAATACTATAGTGCTCACCTATTATTATTATTATTATTATTATTATTATAAAAAAAAACATTGTCAGTATCTCTCAGAGTACTTAACACTGCAGATCAAGCTTTAAAATATATTAATTCTTTTTTGGTTGACCACTTTTTGCCCTTGTCATTCTGAGAAAAGTTTCCCAAAAGACGTGTGTCCTTTAGAAAAACAAATAGCTCAACATAACTATTTTTAGACTTGATTGTATAATGAGAAAATAGAGATAATTACGTCAAGCTCAGAAAGTGAAAAATTCCTAATAAGCAGAAGCTATAGATTTCAGATGGGTTTTGATAATTCCCTTCACATCTGAAAGGTTGATTTGAGAAAGACAAGTTATATTCGATGTTAATATATTTTGTTTCTAGGGAAGAGGTAATTTTGAAACACTTAGAGCTTTCTAAAACAAACAAACAACAAAAACTCGATGGGTTAGGCAATAATATGACATATAAAGTCCTTTGTAAGATTTTCTTTTATCAGTTTGTGAGTAAATATTCACAAATGTCACTAGATTTTAAAATATTTATCATTATAACACTTGAAGTGTTCTTATTTGTCTTCAAATATCAATGTAGAAAACTCTTTTCTACAACCTAAACACACACACTGCCCCAAACTTCAAATCACCACCAGCTCATTCAGAAAAGGAGGGAGAGAGGGAAAATGGGAAGGAGAGGGAGGGAGAGAGAGGGGGAGGGAGGGAGATGTGTATGTGTGTGGGCGAGAAGGAGTGAGAGAGAATGAACCAACAACACTGAGGACAACTTTGACCAATTATGGCAGAGAAAATACTATCTCTCTGTAGGTTAAAAACTACAGGCAACATACAAAAGTCCATAAAGAAACGAATTATTATTACATGTAAGCCTGATTTCACTGTAATATTTGTAGAGTACTTTAAAAGAAAAAGGGTTTTATAAAAGATCATTGATTCATTTAATATAAGGGTGTTAAAATTATTTGGTAAATTATTTCCCACTGAAAAAAATAGAAATAAACAATATAAGAAGATATTCTGCTGTTGCCTCTGGTTTATATCTAAAATGATTTATAGTCTGCAATTTCTTCATAAGGTCATCACCCTCATAAATACTAGCCACAGACAGTGAAAACCAACTTAATAAAATGAGTATTTCATTTCTCTTCCTCCTGCTTATGTAGATACTTCTTCCATCTACATGGAAGTAACAAAACCTTGCACTATGCAGATTTTTATGAGTTCTTGAGATCTTTTCTTTTTTATCTTTCTATGCATCAGCAAAGCAACTGGCAGATTCTTTAATAAAATATATTATACACTTTAATATTTATAAGCCTATGAATTGGATGTTTAAATAAACATTCACCAACTTATGCCACTTCTTTTGTTTTAGATGTTAAATCACACTTACATTGTCTGGAAAGTCAGCCTTTAGTTCAGTGACACTTTGACACCAATATGCCGCTGTTTTTTCACTGATGAGCTCAATATTCAGGAAGGAGCTTTGTCCAGGGCCATACATGGGCCCAGAGGTGGTCCCCCGGACGATTCTGGGTGAGACATTTGTCACAATGTCCTGATGAAAGAGTAAAGATACTGAGTTTCCTTTTGACAAAGAAAACCTATGATCTTTATTCTATGCTCATTTCCATATGACAATATTTTACTAAGTCCTTTCTCATATTTTTACAGATGAATTTCTAAAATACTTTTTAAATTACAGTTGAACATTACTTCCAAATGAAAGAGTAAAATAAAATATTTGTTAGTGTTATTTAAATTACTTCCTGTAATTGTGAGATTAGCATAGTGAAAAAACAAAAACATGTAAATTTATTTACACTAGATTTAGGCATACACATTTTAATTTGTTTGCAATTACATAATAAATAAAAACGTGATAAGTAAAATGGAAGAATATCATTTCAGTCTATTTAGTCTAAGTATCTCCAATGAGATTTTAATTCCAATCAATAGGAGTTAATGTTTGTAAAGGAAAAAAAAATTCCTGAAAAGTAATTTCAGTGTAAATCAACCAACGAGTGAGTACATATTAGTACTACTGGCTCATCAAACTTTAACATACAGTCTTATCTAACAAACTAACCAGGTCAACCTACCTATGGAGTCTAACTATAAATTCACAATCAATGAGAACCTGTTTTTCCCAAGACTGAAATGAGGATATCAATAACTTCCTGATAACTATAAACAGTAAACTGTCAAATTAACTTGCTTGTTAAGTGTAATTAACAATTTGCAATAGCTTCTATAGCTGTATCGACAAAGAAAAGTAACATTCTTATATTACTAAAAACTAAAAAGAAACAAAGAAGAAAAATGTTTCTTCAGCCAACTTCCAATTAAAATTAATTTCGAATAAAGGTCATTTAGTTAAGGATTTATCAGAATTAGTCATTTAAGTACCCCTCCTCACCATCTTGTCACTTTTAGTGAGATAACATGAACCCCCATTAGTATATAGCAATTAAGGTCAATTTACATATTTTAATTAAGAACCACCCCATATAAAACAATTAGCGTAATAGGCATACTAACTGGATTTCATAACATTTGGACGTTTTTCCAACTAGACAGACAGGAAACCTTAATTAGCATTAATTAGTGCTGATCTGCATATGTTTGATAAGGCATACCCTTGCCACAAAAGATTATTTATTCCTGAATCTGCCAAATGCTACAGTTGCAGAGGATAAAAGGACTTTTCTTCACATTGCATGTTAATTTCTGGTAATTTACATTCACTTTTACATTCGAATTAGTATATTATAAAATAAATGGTATAAATGTTACAATAAGCCTCTTTAAATATGTACATTTTTACTTATAGGAATTCTGCCAGTTAACGTTTTACTAATTAAGCCATTCCACTCCTATTGTAATTGCGGGCAACATCACCAGCCTTACTTTGATTTGCTATTATGAAACCATGTTACACGATCTTAATGGGAGAAATGACAAGTACAGTCACTCGAGGAAGCTCAGGCTTAGTGGGTCAAGTTTCTACCTTGGTAAGTGCTTAAATATATGCTCTGAATATATTTGCAGCTCACCCGTAAGTACTCTCATGTTATGCGCCATGGTCTGTAAAGATTATTCCAGAAATAATTCACTCAAATGAGTCTGGTTTTCTTTTTGTCCCAATTTTGAAAAGCTATACTTTTAAGCCTTGAGGTCCTCCTTCCATCTGCTATTCCCCTACTCCGGCTGCTCCTCCACCTAGATGAATCACGGTGTCTCCACAGGAGAACTTGGCCAGTTGGCGAATAGTCCATATTCAGTTCACCAAGTCACGTGCCATGGCACTGAGTAGTCCCACAAATGAAGAGGCACCTGTTTTAAATGCCTTTTTGTGATTTATTGGTCTAAAAGCAGTACTTTCTGCTTATTCAATGAAATTGACTCAGGTGTTAGCAGAGTCCTTGCTCCTGCCTATTCTTCAGGTCTTAGCTTAGACTCTGATCCCTTTGAGATCTCTCCAATGCCATCAAGTCTTTGATTCATGCCACCATAGCACTACATACTTTCCTCAGCTGGCACACTTTACCACCCTGTATTGTGATTGTCTATACTCTTGTCTGGACCTTTCACTAGAGTACAAACTTTGGAAGAGACGAAATTATATCTTGTTCACTATTACATGCCTAGCTCTAGTCTGGCTTTCAGTTGGTGCTCAAATGGTTTTTGAAGGAGGATCTAAATGCAGAGATCTTACCCTCGTGGGTGTGCCATGGACTCCTTAGGTACCCTGGTGAAGCCTAAGAAAAATGTTTTTAAATGCATAAAATAAAACTCATAAGGTTGCAAAGGATTCCCATTATATTAAAATAAAATTCTCAAAATATTTTTAAAAAAATATGCCAGTATTGACATAGAACGGAAGAATCGCACCTATACTGAGTAAGGAAAAATACAATGGTCCAGGAATTCTAAGCCATGTCCTATTTTATAGTAACCCTAATAATGATTAGTCCAAAAACCCACAATAGCCAAAAAAGTTAATAAACTGACAATTTAATTTGAGGACAGTCAAGCAAATGCTTCTTTCTTAAAATGCCCCCGCCCCCACAGTGATACCTTAAAATTTTAAATTCATTACAGATTTTTCTTTTGTGTACTGTTAAGTTTATTATTAATGTTGGGGTTATTTTACTTTTATGTTCTATAATTCATTGTTAAACTGTAAATATGTCATGGGAGGATTATTAATAATCTCCTTAACCAAGATCGAACAAGAACAAGGCAAATCAAAGGGAAAATTTTATCCACTTTATGATAGGGATTGTTTACGCTTTTATGTTGAGTCATGATAGGCAGTGCTTCTCTAAACAGGTCAGTTTTCTCTTTCTTTAACTCAAGCAAAGAAAAAAGATTCTTAATAACTGCCCTAATTACAGATGCTTACCATGTAGAACTTGTCAACTATCCATGAGTCAGTTTTTACCATTTTTGCAATTTAAAAATTCAGCATATTCCAAATTCAGCTAAAGTGCAAAAATTCATGGTCACCCAGTGATAAGTCAGTAATAGAAATTTTATTCTAGGTTTTCCTTCCCAAATTCAGTTATATTTGCTACTACTTTATCAAAAACCTTCTCTACTGACTTGAGGCTTCTTATAATTTTTAAATTAAGTGAAAGATAAATGAAAACTTGGATATAACCAATTATCCTTGCTTATACAATTAGAGTTAGAGCTCCAATAATTGGGCAATAACTTACTAAAGCTTTTGACCTGGGAATACTAGAATTCGGATATGATTTTATAAGATAATAATTTGCTTTAATATTTAATAGCTAAATTATATTAGCATTTCTTAAGGGAGTTAATATAAAAATAAACATATTCGAGAACAGTTAGAATAGAGAAGAGTTCATTCTCTATAACAAAGAAGATGAATAGTTTTACTCTTCGGTGCATTAACAATATTCAGATTTTTAAAAATTGATGTTTATAGATAAGGAAGGGTTAGGTGATATCTCTGCTTTATGTGATATTGTATCTACCATTGCAGCAATCGAGTATTAGCGACCTCTTAACATTTGAAGTGATGATAGTGATTTTTCAGCATTAGAAAAGAGATTTAAATGGTAAACAGACTGATTATATTTGTTTAAGATCATTTACTTAACTTCTTTTATCCTAAAAAGAAAAATAGTGTTTCCATGGTTACTACTGGATTAAGATAGTCACAATGACCTCAATAAACAGAAAAAGGACACTTTGCAGAGATGTCTTGGTAATAGATGAGGAAAAGAATAGGGGTCCAAAAAAGTTGGATGAAAATCAAAATAAAATTTGTGGAGTGAACCACAGCTACTATACCGGGACAGATTTAGAAATATGTTGTTTAATGAAAAGAGCAAACTGTGCAAAAATATATAGCATATGATACAGAAAACAAGCAAAACAATATATTATTTAGTGAAACATATTTCTGTAACAAAATATAAATATGAGATAATTAAAAGTAATTTAGGAGAGTGGTTACCTACTGGTTTAGGTAGATGCTGGAAGAGAAATTGGGAATGAATGGCTTTCGAAAAGTATTAGTGAAATATAATTTTAAAGCAGGTTTACTCCTAAAAAGCAGAGACACATGGTAGGATGGGAAATCTGTTTAATGAGATTTGTGGTAGCCTAGTGAATATTCTTATAAGCTATCGCAAAAGTTTGATTGGTTTACCTGAAAACCTGTAACTTGAATCTTAGGGATATATGTTTCATTTTAATTTCCAAGAGTCTGCTGTGAACTGGTTGTTTCTGTCAAACAAATTTTTTAATTATTTGATTTTTATAAGCTAAGATTTCAAACATGAAATGCACTGCATGACAAATTGTCTTCTAAAATATATCACTTTCTACATAAGTGGCATTTAACTATACATTATTCTATAAAGGAGGAGAATCACATTGCAAATAAATCTAACAACAAATATCCTGTTTCATGATGTGATTCCATTATTATAAATCTGACATATTGCTACCTTGGGAATAGCGAAAAGTAAAATAAAATTTAAAAGTGGCCCAGTTTCTCTAGCATTTTAGTTTCTTCATGAACTAAGTATATTAATATTTGATTACTTTCAAAAATAAACTTAATAATGGTCAGAATGATTTCTACTTGGTTGTTTTGGAAGGGTAAAATGGGTAGGATGAGAATTTTAGTTCTTACTACATTTTCGTTCTTACTAAATTGATGTAGTTCTTACTACATCAGTTTTTCCCTCCTCATGTCTTATATAAAGATAGCACCCAAAAACCTGAATTAGTGACAAAATTTACCCATTCGTCATCAGGAAGTTTAAATCTGTCTAACCGTATGGAAAATGCAGTAAACAAGAATAACAATGTTATCCTAGAAATACAAGATAAATTATCAGAAAAACAATGGCATTGAATTTGCAGAAACAATAATAATTTAGATTTTTATAGCACCAGTCTTTCACATACATCATCTTGTTTGATATTCACAACTTTATCATCATGCTGCTAATGCTAAAACCGGGCCTTAGAGAAATTAAAGTGACTTGTACTCTGCTGCACAGCTCTAGT